TTCTTGTTCAGAAGATCTGCCAGGACTGGTCCAATGGAGAGTTTTCTCAATTTGAATTTGTATTTTGGTTTGACTGCAAACAAATAAGCTTGCCTGAGAAGCGATACAGCTTGAAGTATCTGCTTCTTGAATTTTTTGTAAAACCTCAAGAGGGAAGCAAAGAGATCTTTGAGTATATTTTGCAAAATCCTGCTAAAGTCCTTCTAGTTTTTGATGGTTTTGAAGGGTTGCACGATCATGAGTATTTTCCTCGTTGCTTGTTCAGCCAGCCTGAAAAAGACTTGTACAGTATAAAGGAGCTGCTTTCAGGACTCATCCAAAAAAAGATACTCAATGGTTGTACTTTATTACTTACAGCAAGACCAAAAGACAAGGTGTACCAGTATGTGTCCAAAGTGGATAAAACTATTGAAATAGTAGGATTTTCCCCTCAGCAGAGAGAATTGTACATAACCAAATACTTTGAAGGATTGCCCTACCGTGATAATGCACTGAAATTAATCAAAGAGTGTGAGTACTTGTTCAGTCATTGTTACAGCCCTCTTATGTGTAGATTTGTTTGTTTCCTCTGTGAGACAGTACTTGAAATAGGAGACAAAAGCCTTCCTTCAACTCTTACTACAGTCTTCCTGAAATTTGTTCAGCAAAAGATAATACCTATGCAAACAGATGTTACAGCCATGCAAAATCAAGAGAGTCTTGCTACGCTAGCCCGTATAGCCTGGTATCTTGGAGAAAAGCACCAAAGTGCCATGAAAAGTGATCTTCTTCCTTCTACGCAAGTTAAAGAGTTTGCTCTGAAATATGGATTTTTCCTGCCATTTGCATTCCCCAGACATTCAGATAGCGGAGAAGAGGAATTTGGGAGCACATTCTCTGATTTTGTCATTCAGAATTTCTTGGGTGCGCTTCACCTTATGTTAGCAGAAGAGATCAAGGATAAAAGTCTAACGAAGTACCTGTCTTTTCCATCCAAGAAGAAAAAAACTTGTAACTGGTTAGATTTAGTGCCTCGATTTTTGGCTGGATTATTGTTCCTCCAGGATGACCCCTACTTCTGCTCCCTTTCAAATAAGGATGTAAAACAATCAACCAAGAAGCAGAAGACACTTTTGAAATATATTAGAAGGCTGCAAATAAATGAGCTCTGTCCAGAGAGGTTACTGGAGCTTTTACATTGTATTTATGAAACACAAAGCAATTATCTTTTGCAGCATGTGGCCTTAAGGCTCAAGCCAGACCTGTCTTTTCTGGGCGCAGTTCTTACACCGCCTGATATCCATGTACTGCACTCTATTTTAAAAAGGTCAAGAAAAGAGTTTTCCTTGGATTTGCGAAACAGCAGCATTGACATGCAAGGGCTAAAAGACTTGGTTGGCCTAAAGAATGTGGCATCGTTCAGGTTGGTCATTCTTTGTAGATAGTAGTGTCATTCATAGGACTGTATGTAGATGACACTTTCGTGCAACAACAGCAGTCATATCTGTTGATTTTGCATGTTTTGTCACTTCACAGGGCCTCTCTCAGTGATACAGTCAGGCTCTGGAAATCTTTAAAACAAACAAAAGACTACGAACTGCTGAGAGCATCAACAGAGAAATTTGTTCTTGATCCCTTTAAGGCAAAGACAATGAAGGACGTCAGTGACCTTTCAGACCTTGTAGAGATGCAGGAGAAGATGATCAATTGGTAGGCTTATTTATGATCAAAAGTCCTCTTAATATACTAACAAATTAAGAAAATGGGGGTTCATTGACAGTGCTGGAGAATGGACTCCTCTGCTTGTACAAAGGAGGAGTAACTAAGGCAGTGCAAGCTCTTGTATCGTCTCAGAGTGGTCTCCTACCCTGATGTGTGGTGGTTGTCATGGCAGGGAGGAGCAATGACAGCACCATGCAGAATATTTATCAAAACTGCCAATAAAAAAGCCAGCTGTCACTTTTTTCCTTCAGATTTCTTTTTAATCTCTGAGTATGCTATCTTCCAATTGCTTTCAGTTCCATAACTTGGGCTAACTGATTTTCCCCCCTTCTAGCACCTGGGCCATAAATGAAGGCTTGTTTTGCATCAGTCACAAACGACCTTTAGCTCAGGAGGTAAAAGCTTGTGTTAGTGATCTATACACCCTGTATTTCATCCCTGCTTGTGATGTGGCTAGGGGATTGGTTGCAATTAAAAGATGCATAAGTAAAGTATTTTGGTGGTTGTTTTTTAAATAAAAATGGTGGCTTCCATTTTAACACAGGCAGAGCATTTTGATTAAAATATACACAAAATAAGTTTCGTGTTTGACAGAAAATACTTCATATAGAAGAATGTATTTTTAAGTTTTATTGGAAAAAGAGCAAACGACTGCACTATGAAAGGCAATTATCAGACTGAAATTAATTGAATGAAGGAAGGTTGGAGCAGAAGTTATTCTGAAGTTTCCTGATTCCTCAGTTAATGCCGCAGTGGTTTATTTCCTGTAAAAGTTTACTAAGAAATTATTTTTAAAGCACTGTTTTGGTTGCTAAAATATTTCTCATACTCTGGTTCTACTGTGATTTATTTAGTGTGCAAGATGCATCTGGTTGCAGCAGCTATGAAATTCCTGCCATCAAAAACCTCAGAAAACTAGAATTTGCGTAAGTGATATACCTCTCTGTTGATTGATATATGATTACATTTAAGACTGAGAAGAGTCATGGATATTGGCTGCAGTCATTGAACTGATGTATAGTTAGTTTATGGTAAAGCATTAAGTAAGTATTTTGCTTTTCTCAACTAGATTTATTAAGTTATGGCCAAAACTCAAAAAACGTCATTTCTGGTTCCAGTGATACAGATCAACATGATTGTATCAATTTTGTTTGATGTTACTACAAGTTAGCTCCTTATCACCAGAGGTAGATCTTGTGCCACAAGGTATAAAATATCTTGATCATGATCCAACGACCTGGGAAATATTTTTTTCCACCAGAAATGCTCAACTTTTCTATCTGAGTCTTCTGATGTAGTTTTCTGCCCTATCAGAGCTTAGACCGTGAGACAATAAGGTCAGAGAATGCCTCCCAAATAAAATATTTAGCACTGTTTTCCTGGAAGAAGGGAGATTGACTTGGAAACACTGACTTTGAAAATGAGGTGTAGTAATGTTTCTTTTTTCCCACAAACTGTAAATAGCCTCCAAGGCTATTCTATTGCTTAAAATATCCTGCTATAGTGTGTGAATTAATTTGGGCAGAAATTACACCAGTGCAATGGAGAACTCTCATCCGGGTCTTCATCTGTTTCCTGTTCTTCGCATCTGACCCAGTCTAGAACTGCTATGCTTGGCCTCACTTCTGATTTAATGCTGCTTTCTCTTCTTGCTTCCTCTCCTACTCTCCCTTTATTTTAAACGTTTGGTTAAAATTCTGATCCTTTTAATGAGGCTGAACTTGTTCTGATACCAAGGAAACTCCAAATAAGAGGTTAGCGTCTGAGGGATAAATGCTTGGAGCTGCAATATTAAAGTTCAATTTATGCTTTAATCTGCAGTAAAATGTTGATCTTAAGTTAGTCTGAATTGCCACTAGTTGGGAAAAGAAAAAGAAGATAATTTTTTTTTCATCTCCATTATCAAGATTATAATACTTAAAATGAAAAACCTGAAAAAAACAGAAAAAGAACAGAAACGCAGGAATCTAAAACAAGTGAGATGAGTCTTGCAAAGAGTAATAAAAAAGTGGCAAATGCATGTAGTGCTGCTTCTGTACAAGCAGCTCTGCTCTGTCTGACTTTAGCCTTGTGGGGTCCTCATCTGGAGGCTTCAAAGCAGAAATCTTTGCTGCAGATTGTAGGGAATGGCTGCTGCTAAAGAGTGTAAACTAGCTTGCATTTGGGGCTGCAGGGGAAGAACTTAACAATTCATAACTTTTGCTGTTTCTGAGCATGTGAAAAAACTGCTGCATGTCTATATTTATTTTCTTCCAGTCTGGGTCCAGTATGTGGCCTACAGGGATTCCTAAAACTCGTGGAAATTCTTGCCGCATTTCCATCACTTCAGCATTTAGAGTGAGTAATGCTAAGGATTAACTTTGCTAATGTTGCAGCCCTTGATGATGAGGGAGCTCATGTACCCAAGAAACATTTTATTTGCCAACAAGACTACTTGCTTTGATGAACAAGCTGAACAACAAAAGCATTCAGCAAATATAACCGCAGACTAAAAGATAGCGCTCTTCATCTCCCTTAAGACACTTGGTAGTGGTTCGTTCAATGCCCCTTCAGTCACTTCTCCGTGTGTTCCTTAGTGGCTAAAAGCTTGTGGGAAAGGTTTAGTACGAGCCCACGGGGTGCTCCCCCTTCCTGCCACAGCACTGATCAACACTGTCTGCGCATTACTTATTTCTTCATAACATTTCCATAACATGCCCGACCTCCAGGCTCCCTCGTGGTGAGGTTTCTGAGGGACTCACGGTCGTGTCTGCCCCAGGAGAGAACAGGCTCCCTCCTGAACCAGAAGCAGTGTTAAATTTGGGTGTTAACTTCAGTATTTGTGCCAGTGCTGTGCACCTTCCAGTGTCAATGAACATCCTGAACTTCTGGTAGAACTTGTAAGACATTGAGCTTTGTGGATTTGATTCATATAAAAGATAGATCTAAAAAAAGCCATACTCTGCTAGTATCTGGTTTTGTTCTGCCCACGTATTTTCACGCGGTCTTTGTCCCTTCCTTTACCAGGAGCAGTATTAGAAATAGCGTTTTACGAACTCCAGTTACTATTTATTCTCTCGTATCCATGACAAACCCGCTGTCTCTGAATTTTAAGCTTCTTTACACTAGAAACAATTGTAGCAACAATAGTCAATATTCTGTCATCATCTCTGTGGGAAGATTACTGGGTTTTGAGAGGGTCTTTGGCCTTACTGGCTCAGCCCATTGGCCATTTGTCTGTATTGTGTCTGGCCTTTTCATGATATTTTGGGATAACAATAAAGCTCTAAAATTGGAATGAGTCCGATGTATCCCAGCATTGTCTGTCAGATTAGAAGGCGATCCAGTATCTAAAATTGTGACTATCTAAAACTCTTTCCATCTGGATACCTGAATGAGGAAAAACTTCATTTCTAATACTCCCTATCTGGAGAAGGAGCTGTTTAGGCAGGGATTTACAGCATCTGCTGGATTTTGTCAGTTCTGTATTTCTGTGTGCACAGGAATCTCATTTCAGCATAGCTGGAAGACAGCTATTTCGTAACCATTTTAATAATCTTCAGTGTATGGTAGAACCAAGGCATTAAGTGCTTCCATTTGCATATCAAAGGAAATGGGTCAAGCCATTCAACTAGTAAAAAAAAAAAAATTCTTAAATTTGGGAAGCAGAAAGCTGCTCATCAGAGAAGCTGTAATTTCTGTGATGCTTCTTGCTGATTGAGGCTACTGCAGAGAAGGAGCTTCTCAAGATATATAGAGTGGTCTCTGAGGTGAATAAACCATACAAATTTAGATTAAAAGGAAGCTAATTCTCTCTTTGTCATGACCCAGCCTTGATGCTCTGAGTGAAAATGGCATAGGAGATGAAGGAGCAAAGAGTCTATCTGAAGTCTTTCCAACCCTGACATCACTGGAAACATTAAAGTAAGTGCAAGGTTAACAGTTCTGGAAAATAGATTAATAGATTAAGCCTAGAGCCTTAAGGGACTGTGTGTTAACAATTATGGGCATAACTAACCTGTGGGCGTGGAAGACCGATGAGTCTATGGACATGCTTAATCTGTACATTCATTAGAGGAATAGGTTAATCCTATGGCAATTCCTTATTTCCCTTCAAGGGCCATAATTTGTCTTTCTCCCTGCATTTAGTCTAAGCAGACTGTCCAAATTATATAAAAAAGATAGCAAAAATGAATTTTCCTCACGTTGTAATAAATTAGAATAAATGTGTTCAACTAACAAAGCGATCTCACTTACTGTAGCTTATCACAGAATAAGATAACAGATGTGGGTGCAGAGAAACTAGCTACAGCTCTTCCTTGCTTGTCTTCATTAAAGACACTAAGGTAAGTAGTTGTATCCTGTTCAGTTGTTTTGTACAACATACCTTGCTATCTCTGTCAGAAATTACTGAACATGGAACAAATATGTACACTGTGCAGCAGCCAAGCTTTTTTCATTCTTGCATAAAGCCTTTAGGGAGAAGAGAAGAGGAGAGAAATGTATTACCCAGTGTAGACATACAGAAGGATATCTCAGGAATATAACAAGGCCTGTACTGATTTTTAAATCCAATCCATAATACCCACTTATGAATAATACCCTGTACAAATGTGTACCCAGGGCCATGCTCTATTGCAAGCTTATGCGGAGCTTGCTAAGCGCAGTTCTAAGCCCTGAGCCAGCAACGAGGTGGTGTGTGTTTGCTGATATGGGACCAATGATCCATCCCACTTCATTAAAATGTCTGGCATAGGCCTGAATGAAGTATCTCAGTAGGGAATGCAAGAAACGGTGGTGTGCAATTCTGGAATAATTTGCTCACATGGAAATCTTTTGAGTGCTGTGCCCCAAATCTTTGAGCTTCATTTTCTTGCAGATTTTTAATTTGGTCTAACGTAGACAGAAATGTTCTTATTATTCATTAAGAATCTAGACCTATTTTTGCTGTAGCTGTGCTAGCTGAAGAAGGGATGTGGCCATTTGCCTTACTTGATACAGAAAATATGAAACTGTGTTTTAAATATTAACTGCAAATAGATAAGGATTAATTGGAAGTTAAGATGTACCAACCATATCTGAAATTCCTTGATTTAATATATAATCTGTTTACATTATCCATTATTCAATTGTGACTCTACCGGTTTGGTTTTTTGCAGCTTATACAATAATAGCATTTGTGATTTTGGAGCAGAAAATCTTGCGAAAGTTCTTCCTGCTATGGCATCTTTAAGAGTGCTAGAGTGAGTATGAAATCTTTTGAGATGGCCCAGGAAAGCTTAGTTGCCTGGATACTGAAAATTCAAATCTTCTGTCCTCGGGGTAGAGGAGACAGAAATTGAGGAAGAAAATTTCAGGGAAATTTCACAGGGAAAATGTGATTATGCAGAGTCCAGAGAGTCAGTGGTTAGAAAGGATTAAAAAAAAAACTGAAAAATCCATTTTAAGGTGGGAGAATAGGGTCATGGGGAGTTGAGGAAGGACCTTGGGTACATAGAATAAGGAATCCCTCAGATGAACTAACTTAATGAAGTTCCAGTTTGACCTTTTGAGTATTTTATTACAGGTTTTTTGAGTCAAGGATCTATTTTGGTTTTTTCTTTCTTCCCCCACCTGCAGATAAGCCCGTATAGTATTTTTGATTTTGAATGAAATGTTTGATTATACCGCTATATGATGTGATCTGGATGAACAACTTTTTTTTTTCCTCAGTGTTCAGTATAACAAAATAACTGGTGTTGGAGCCCAGCAGCTGACTGACAGCCTACGAAAATGTCCCCATATAAAGAACTTGGTGTAAGTCTCTTGATATGCTGTTTGCTGCATCTTTGTTCTGTAAATTGGGTTAGAATTCATGCCAAAGCTGTGTTCTGTATTTGTCAGATTTATAAGAGGCACAAAAAAAGACATCACCGAAATACAAAAGCAGTCACAGAAATGTTAAAAATGTTGTCTCTGGTTTCAGCTGTATTAATTCCCTATTGTCCCAGGCAAGCAAGCTTGTCCTGCTTTAAGCATAGTTTACATTGAGCCTCCTTTTGTTAATCTTCTACCCTCCCAGAGTACCTGACCTACTCTGTGCTGCAGGACTTGTATTTGAAGGATTAACAACGAGCAGCCATCATTAGAGGTTAAATAGACTGAAGCTGCCAGTACACATTCAGGGGAAGGGAGTTTGATAGAAAGCTAAAGCACAGTTATGGACACAGGACTGTAGTGTGTCCAATAACCAGAGTCAGCCAGGTTATGGGGGAGACAACTGCTTTCTTCTAAATGAAAATGCATTTTCATTTGTTCCATAGCTTATACACTTTTATAGAATGATGTTCAAAAGGGAAAGACAACTTTAAAAAAAACGAAACAAAACACATATGTACCAAAAAAACTATGAAGCAAATTACGCTTCTTAAAATCTCTTTCCTTTCTGAATTTGCCCTTACAGGATGTGGAATCCCACCATTCCCTATGGAGTTCTTGAACACCTTCAGCAGCTGGACTCTAGGATCACTGTGTAGATTCAGGTGATCCCACAAAGGTAATATAAACCCTGGCTTTCTGAAACAACAAGATTTGTTTTTGTGGCAGCTGTTAATTCTGGTCTCACTGGCAGCACGCACAGTAACAGTACCAACGCATGCATGGCTAGGTAGAGAGATGCAGCCCTAGAGTGGCACAGATCAGTATCACATCAGGCCTCCTTTCCCCGCACTGACCTTGCATCCCCCATCTCCCTGGCACCAGCACTAGCAGACTGCAAGAGCTGCATCAACAAGAATGGACTTCTTCTAGGACTCCTAGTTCAGCCCAGTTCAGTGACTGGCAGCTGGCCTGCTTACCTTCTCTTTTCTGTTGCAGAAAACTAAATAGCTCTGTGTACTTCTTATGTTTAATAGATTAGTTCTGTACTCCTTAGAGATTATTTTGTGTTAATTTTTAGTAAGTTCTTTCACTTTTCCTTTGTTTAATACAAATCCTCAGCAGCTGCTTATCTCGCTGTGAAACTGTGCCTATTCTGGACTCGGAGCAAACCACTGGTTCCTACATTCCTTGTTCTCAGTCTGGTTTGTGTGCTTGAGCCACTGGCAGTCACTTTTACTTCATTGATTCTGCCTGCAGTTTCAAGGATCCTTGAAATAATTGTATCGTTAGCAATTTGCTAACAGTTTGCTGATGATCACCGGGATCTGACTGCTTGACGCTCCTGGACTGAAGGAGCTGCAGCAGGCATGGGAAATTAGGGTTTTGTGTAGGATTTCTGCTCCCAATTTTCTGCCATGTGGTCCTCTTGTTTTTAAAAAAAATTATACAGGATGCATCAGTGAAATGATCCCAGTGAAGAATAAGAAGCCAGAGTCAAGCCAGACACCAGATGCCCTCCAGCTTTCTTTCAGATGGCAAAGAACACATTGCAGAGTGATCACCACCTGCTTGAGCTGTGGTTTGAATGGTCCTGGCAATGGCTGCAGTTGCCAATGGCTTCCTAAACCACGCAGTGAGCCAAGCTTTTGCATGACTCTTGCTCTCAGTGGATGTAGATCACCGGATGTAGACTTGGCTATATGTATGGCACTGATCAGGCTACAGGTTGAGGAAGACTCAGGTGCCATAGCAGCTTCACAGACTAGCTTTATACAGCAACAGTGAAAAAATGTAGTGATCCTTAATAGCCTACAGTACAACTAACTCTTTGTCTTGTTGAATAACCATACCTACTTGGGAAAGAAGACATTAGGGATATGAACACTGCCAGGAACCTTACAAAAGCAAAGCTTTCTCTAACCTCCTGTGTCTGTTATTTAAGGGGAGCATGCAAGAAGAGTGTTTGAACATGTAGGTCTGCTCCCAAATGATCTCGGTTTTCCTCTGGACATAGAGCAATGGCAGTCAGTGAGACTGAGCTCCGCTCTGTGAAAGTCAGCGATTCTTGGACAGTGGTCATCTTTCACACCAAGCAAAAGATCTGTTTAACACAGCTCTGCATAAACAACCCCTTGCATTTTCCTCCACTGCTGTTCTCTCATGATTGCAGCACATGCCTGTGGCACCAGTAACCACATTAGTATAGTATCTGAGTACGTGAGGAAACATTCGTCATCTTTAGCACTGAGGATTAGTAGCAGCAGGAAATCTGGATCCTCCCAAACTTGAAACATCCAGCATCTACCAGACACTGTTGTCTATCTTCAGAGCACATCAAATATATGGGTTTGGAGATGTTAAGGGAGATTAAGCTGATGGGCATACATCTAATATTCTGTTTTCATCATTTCACAGGTAACACAAAGAAGAGGGGAAGGTGTCCTCTGTGTTTTCCTATCTTCTTGCTGCTTTATGAATTGGTGGCTGATTTTCATGATGGTGGCAAAATGGAAAAAAAGTCACATTTAAGCTTCTGGATGATGCTTGAAGTGGGTGAATGATGGAGTTCAGATTTTATAAAGACCATTTAAAACACTATTCAAAGACGCAGTTGTGTTTCTGCTGAAGTGATGAAGAGTTAAGCAACATCAAGTTTCAAAGATGAAGAGTATCTGGATATTGTGATCACCATTAAAGGTGACCAGGAATCACCAGGATATTGATAGTATAAAATTCCATCATCAATTCATCAAAGAGTGGACTGCAAGCTGCTGGACCTGCAACGTCTGAAGTAGTGACAGATCAAATTTAATTGTTTGATGGTGCCAATGGTAACTGCGATCAAATTCAGCTTGATGATTTTGGACTTCCAAAGCTCAATGTTACAGATTTCACCTGTCTGTCTGGACTGATTTGAAGCATTAGGGTCAGGAGCATAAATAAGAATGATCAGTCTTAGAAAACAGTCCAATATTGTAAGATTATCACGAGAATCTAGAAGTGGCTCTTTTCTTGATGCTAAGGGATATGCTGTCTTAAGGGATAGAAAGATAGTTTTCTATCACTCTCGTTACTGAATCCTTCAAAAAGATTAGGAAAAAAAGAAAGAAGTAAAGAGAAGAAATTAATTAGAACTGGAAAACTATTAAGGATTTTTCTGACATTATCACAGAAATCCAAATGCATAGCTTCAGTTTATTGCACAAAAATCCTTGAAGTGACAATCTTCAAAGGTTTTTACTCTGTCTCAAATGAGAACTTTAATTTTTTTTTTCTTCATTCATATACCTGGATTGGGATTTAGTTTCTCACTTGCAGGTGGCAGCATAAATGTACAAGCACCTATTTTGTACTTCACAGTGAAATCACTACTGTGTGTTGTTTATGTGGCCTTCTTTTAGAGAGTTATGAATAACTAGGCAATGACAGGCAATAACATATTTCAAAGTGTTATCATGTGTCTGCGCTGCTTGCCTCAGTGATGTGGGCCAAATACCGGTCCTGCTGACTGCAACAGCAAAACAATTTTTTCTTTTTTTTTCTTCTTTTATTTCAGCTCTGTAAACATGGAGAGAACTTATAATTGTACAGAGACACTTGTCAGGACTAGCATTCTGGCTCCTTGTCCAGATACAGTCTGGAGACAGAAAAACAAGAAGGGATGGAGAAAGCTTGGAATATTTGAACTGCCACAAATTGGGAAGGGAGGTCTCTACTTCACAGTTAGGTCAGGTTTAGCTCAACAATCTCCTTGAAATCTCTTCTGCTAGGAAGTACTGACATTACTGACCCAAGGATCTATGCAAACTAGAATGTCTCAACCTCTCAAATATTTTGTTACCTGGTTTTAAAGAAGTCCCCAATTTGAACAGTTCAAAACTCCAATCTTTATGTTCTTTCCAGCAAATTATACTTCTCTGCTAAAGTTTCAGTGCCTGTGGAATCTTGACAGCAGGGATGGAGGGCAAACAAATTAAAGAAAGAAGGAAGGAAGGAAGGTCTGGTTTGTTGTTTCTGTTAATCGAAGGAGAGCAGGGAACCACACCTAGTACGTGAAGGTAATAGTACAAGAGAGCAAGGTGGAAAAATTCTATGGAGAATATGATTATAACTAGAAAGTGGTATTTTTCTTAACTATCTGCATGGTTCTTCTCTCTAGCCAAACTCTAGCCAGAGTCATGGAAAAAATCTCATTTACATTCCCCTCTTTCAGCTGCTTGAATGGGAAGTAGTTTGAGCCAAATCTTGTGTAATGTTCCCATCAGCCTGCGGCACTCCGGCCGTGCAGATCTATGGTGAGCCCTTGTCTTGGCTTCCTTTAGCTAAGCTTTGGATGACAAATGCCCCGTTGGGGATATATTCTGCAGCTACGCTTCACTGTGACTGAATCTGAGAATGTGCTAAATGTTACACAGGCAGACAAATGTCACAGGACTCTGTCTGGACTGATAAAATCATACTGGATATACTACTGTTCTCTTTTTATGAGTTAGTGGGAGATGTATATTTATAATGTACAGATTGTAAATTGTGATACAGTGTTTTGGTTGTCTTTATACATCTTTTTAAAGTATTAATAAAAGTGAGCATTCCTTTTTATGGTAGCTTGTAGTACCTGTTGAAAATTATTTTGATTTTTCTTTTGGAAACGCTACGAAACCACTGCTGGCTTCTGAACATAATGATGTGCTCAGGGCTTCATGTTGTAGGTTAACAGAAAGCACTGCCTGGCGAGGGAGACAGGTTGGACCTGCTGGCACTTAGCAGTTCAGTGGTCTGGAAATGGAGAAATAATTCTTTCCTAACAGGCAATGGGATCTTGCAATGCCAACTGATAGACTGTCAGTCAGAATTAGAAGATATAAAATTGCTGACTGAAGCCGCCAGCTAGTAACAGCAAAAAGTTGTTTTCATCCTTTCAGACTTTTTGCAGTTAAAAGTTCTAAAATTAATCGAGGTTCAAAGTCTGGATATTCTTGTGGCACAAAGCTTATCCAAAATGCTTTTGTCAAATGAGTGCCTTGTGTATAGAAGACTGAATTCACTGGCTACCCTAAAAATGCTGTTCTGATCAAATCTGTGTTCTAAAAATCTTTTAGGATGAGAAAAATGCTGCTCTCTTTATGCCCACGCTGTTTTTGTTGTCAAAGAAGCCTTGTTAAAATGCTAAGGCTTGTGTTATGATGGGAGTCAGATCCTGCAATCTGAGTACTCTCCCTATCCTTTAAATGGGGTATGAAGCTGAGCTGTTCTGAGGAATCAGAAATCTTGATCTAAGATTCAGAATCTCCACAGTGAATTACTTGGTGGAATTTGTATTGCTTGATCTGTGCATCGTGTGGCATAAACCCACTGCAGCGAAACGATTACAAACTAGTAGATACTGGAGTAAGTACTTATAATGACAAACTGAACCATGTTCTTAAAATGGCATACATATGACCCTGAAAAGTTAGTGTAAGCTGTCTCTCTGAACAGTATGAATTTCTAATTATATAGGCAGCAAGCAGAATTTAGCCTTTCTTGTGTTAGTACCAAATGGGCATGTGAACACAAGCTTAACAAGTTTTTAAACTTGGCTATTCTTTATATAAGTGCCTAAATGGGGATTTAGTTCCCCAAATGTATCTTTACATGTTAGAATATTGTGTCCTAA